TTATTATTATTATTATTATTATTATTATTATTATTATTATTATTATTTTCTTTATCTATTTATCTTTAATTTGACTTTGATATACAGATATATGTATTTTGCAAAAAACCAATGTCACTTATTTAAGTGTTTTTCTTTTATATATATGCACACAACGCACTTATATTATTTAGATATCTCTGTGTAGTCCTCAGTTAATAACTGCCTGTTTAATGACTGTTTGAACTTACAACAGGGTTGGAAAAGTAGCTTTATGACCAGTTCTTGAGCTTACAACCATCACAGCATGGTCACATAACCATTTAGTTGCACAACTTGCATACATTTATGATGGTCATTAAGTGAGGACTATGTATATTCTCAGCTCAGTATATATTACTCAAACAGTAATATACACTATTATAGTAATATATTTACATTATATTGTTATTTTTATATAACATCACAGTTTTAAAGTTTTAAAGTATTTGTAAGTTTTCTCTGAAGATTAATTTTTAAAAAATTGGGATTGGAACTAAAATACCAATTTGTTTTCTACAACTGAAATAAAAGTGAAATATGAAAAATACAGGAAATTTTCTCTTAAGTTTTGGTGTTTTATTTATTTTATAGAAGCATGATTCAGTTAAACCTAATGTTGAATCATTTTAGGCCTGCGATGCTTTTAGTTCTGCTGTCAGACTATATCCACGATATGCAGATGCATTTTACCAGCGAGGGCTTTGCAGAATGCAGCTCCAACAAGCTAAATGCATCTTAGATTTTAACAAAACTCTTGCCATTATACCAAAGCATTTTCAGGTAAGAGATATTATTTTGTATTTCTGAAGATTTAATAAATAATCCTTAGTAATAAGGTTTTTAAAATAAAGGCTTAAGAATACATCTGAAACAATCTTGCTTTTTATTAGTTGACTAATAAAAATTAAATGTTGGAACATTTAATTTTTTTGGAAATCCAGCTCAAGTGTTGAAAGTAAGATGGTCTTGACAAGATAGATAGGTTATGTTATGAAAAACATCAAGGACAAGTAGAAAACATGCAGAAGAGGCTTAGATAGACAATTCCTTAATTCACGAAGTTATAAGAAGGGAGGAGAGCACAATCAAATTTGCAATATTTTTTTTATTGTAGCCACTAAAAAAAAAGGAGTCATGTCATTCCTGTGGAATTGATTCTTGGCCTGGTCTATCAGATGGGGCAGGCATCAATTAATTTGGCTAATCTCTTTTTGTATACATAGCTAAACTTCCAATGCTAAATACATTTGTTTAAATGCAGTCAGGGTGTCCATAATGGGAGGCAAAAAAAGTCAAGATATCCACAAAGGGGATTCCAAACAGGCAAAGTGACGCATACAGATCCATGATGCAAACTCTCTTCCTTATATATGCACCTGAAATTCAAGACCCCAAATCAGCAAACATTAGTACACAAAAGTTTACTTAGGATACACAATAGAATAACCGTTATAATTACAGATAGGATGTGCAAAATAAGGCACACCAGGGAAGGTTATCCAAAAATTAAGAACAGGCTATTGCTGCCCTCTATAAGTTGCAGAGAAAGAAGCAAATTAGAAATAAGCACATATAACCAAGGACACTTGCCTAAAATTCATTGTTGTCTGTTCCCAACTAGGTATGCAAGTGACATGATATACCATTTGTAACTATCATGATAATTTGCTTGCTGGCTTGCTTGAAAAATTGGCATTTACATGTAAATTGGGATCAGTGGCACATACTGTATATTCTTAAGGATTAAAACAATTCATGGAAAATATGCTTGGAATGTACCTTGTTAACTATCATTGATAATTTTTTAACCAATATGCATATTTATACTAGCAGAAGTACAAAGACTTGATATATGGAGAATCAGAAGACTGTTCTGAGATTTTTAGGGCTCAGGGCAAAGACACATTTTTCAGAACAAGAGAGAAGTGCCTGTCATGTATTTATTATGGATTAAGAGATAGCATACAAATGATAATTGTATGTAAGCTTTGACATTTTTGTATTCTATATTTTTTTGTATTTTGTATTCCAGCTAGCAATCTTATTGGAAGTAATACATAATTTAAGGGGAGAGAGAAAGTCTTCAGTGTGGAGAGAGAGGGAGAGAGAGAAAGAGAGAATGTTTTATTCCTATTTATAAATATTTGAAGCTTCAAACCTATGTAAGACAACATTGAAGTCTTTGGATATTTCCTCCCTTTTGTGTTCTGCAGTGAGTTTGTTGTTGTTTTTTTTCTGTTAAGGCTTACTTAAGCCGTGCTGCTTACTACGGTAGCAAAGGAAGATACTCGAAAGCAATAATGAATTGCACTGAAGCCCTCAAAATTGAGCAACGTAGTGTGAGAGCATATCTTTACAGAGGAGTACTGAAATTTTACAACAGGGTAAATATGCTTACTCTACTGCTGTCTTAATTTGGGATATATAAGTGAAAGCTTCGCAGTTGTCTTATGAGTACAGAAGGATATTTAAACCTTAGAGCTGCTTAGTAGCTGTGTAATGAGATCTTAATCACTTTCACAAGAAAGTGAAATCTTGATTCATAGATCCATATTGATATTAGTTTTAATGAAACATGACTTCTGTATTGTAAAATGGTTGTTGCTAGATGAAAAAACACGCATACACACCAAGAGAAGGGAGAGAAAGGTAGGTGCTGGAAAAAAATCAGGGCTGTGGGTAAGTGGACTGTTTGGATCTGCTGTATATCAGCTGAAGACCAGTGGGGATTCTGAGAAAAGGAAAACAAAGTTCTGAAGAAGAAAAGTGAGGGCAAAGCCCATCATTTTTTTCTTATTCACCCCCATTGTTTCTGTTTTGTGTACTCCCCTCACAAAGACTGTAATATCTACCGTAATATGGTACCTTATTTTGTGTAGATTAAATAATAATGCTATTATTATTATATCATTTTTATAGACTTACAAGAATGCTGTTGAAGATTTAACTAAAGCTATAGAATTGGATAAAATGTGCACTTTGGCATATTATAACAGAGCAATTGCGTTCCAACAATTGAAGGACTATGAACATGTATGGTTTGTTTTGTTTTAAACAGTGATTTGCTATTGTTTTGGTACTGGAAGTCTCCTTCCAAACCTGCTTTCCTGTCTTACCCCGATTTTAGAGTGGATCTAGGGACAGGGTTTGACTCCTATAAACTATGGCTTATTCCAACAATTTTTCCCCCCTTTCCACAAATAGTGTTACTATTACATTGAAAGGAATACAGTTTAGCTCAAGATTCTGGCATTGAAAAAAAGGGAAATAATTTCATAACAAAAATTATTTATGCTTTTTATTTCATTAATTCACAGATAATTTTGTGGATTCTGTTTATTTGTTTTAGAGTTTGATCGATTATAAGACTGTTCTTAGTCTTGAGACAAGCAAGGACATTGTCTTGAAAGTGCTGAAAAATCGTGCTCTAGTTTATATAGAAATGAAACAGTATGAATATGCGCTAAAGGTATTTCCCCCCTAATATTATAGATACGTTTTTTCTACATTTTGTAGATTGGATTTGTTTGAAAAATATTTTGTAATTTCTAGCGGAAAAGTGATAAAATAAACTAAACAATGCTGCCTACAGACATGCTTAAACTGTTCATATACATTTCAAAATGTAGCTAACCATAACAAAGCAATTTCTTAACAAATAAATATGCAATTATATTATCATCAGTGTTTAAAATTAATTTGTCCAAATGTATTAAATGGGTTGGAAGAATATCTTGGGCTTTTAGATATTGCTAAATTTTAGAGCCTGTAGGTGCATGTGTTTGCTAGAGAAGATTGTGGCTATAAAATGTTCAGTTCTCAGGAAATCACATGTGTGATATCCATTTTTATTATGTTTTTGTATATGATTTGTAGTTGATTTGTAGTCTGTAAGGTATATTATTCTATCTCACATATTACATCTTAAGGGTACTCATAATATAAAAGTTAGATAATGAAAAGGGGAAAAAAAGGAAAGCAATCATTACTTGAAGAAATGAACATTTTTTTTCTCACCTGTACAGTGGCTTTTAGAGTATAGTTATTTCTACATAGAAGGCTATCAATTTTATTGTTTTTGCTGCAACAGTTAAATATGGCTAAACTTCTGAAAAGCAGTACATTTAATGTAGTGTCTTTCTGTGTTTCTAGGATTTTGAAGAAGTGGCAATGACTGAAAAAAAAAATGCAGGATTATTGAATTCCATTGGACTTTGCTATCATAGGTAATCTTAAACACTGCTGAGTAAGATTTGGGAACGTGTGTTTGATTCTCTTGTGTTATGGAGAATTTCTATGTAGCAGATGTGGGGAAAGAAAGGAAACAGTGGTGGGCCAAGGCATTTTATTTTTGCAACAACATCCAAATGCCTTAGTCCCCAATTTTGAACTAGAATAAGCATTTTTAAAAGCCACGAGGCATAATTCAAATAGTCAAACAATCAATGTCTGTTTTCATCAATGTATTTCTGCAGGACAGGGCAAGCTCAGACATGAGACAACTTTCAGTCTATTTCTTGGTTGTATTGACTTATCACTTCCATCTCTCCTGTTAGCTAAGTAGTTACCATGCTGTCGGCGATTGACAACTGTTATATTGAAATATCTGGAAATCACTAGACTGGGGAAAGGCAATTAAAGAGAAAGGCCTACCTTGTTCTCCAGAGGCCAAATGTGTTTTCTTAACCCATTTTCACTATTTGGTTCAATTTCTAATGGTTATTTGGAAACAGCACTCCATAAAGGCCAGTACAGTTGGAAATCAGCATGTTTCTTATATACTTTTTAATACTATATTTTGAGAAATTGAGTGGTGCGCTTTTCTCCCAAGATATCTACGTTAATGTATTTCTCACTACTTGATTATGATAATACCATCTCATTTATTGTGAATCTTCTTTCTCTGAGAACAAGAACAAAAGTACATTTTGTTGGCCGGTTTATGTTTGTTTGGTTTATGTTTTAATCATGTTCTGATTTTTAAGTTCATCTAGAAAGCACTAGGTTGAAGAGGTTTGATTTACAGAGAATATATAGAATATAATAGGATGAGTAAATGCATGTAAAATCATATTATCTTTCATAGATTCATTCATTTTTGTAATAGCCACCCAACTCTAATGGACTTTGAGGAATGTACAAAGCCAAAAAGCAGTAAACACAATTAAAAAGGAAAAAAAAATCCAACCGCCTGGATTAAAACAATAATATGGGAAACAGAATATTTCAATATTCTGCAATATTTCATTGATTGAGTTAATTTGAGATTATATCTTGAAATTATATTTATCTGTCTATCTATCATGATAAAAATAAATGCATTTTGTAGGATGCACATTAGGAAGCAAAGTGAGAACAAGTCTTTAAAAACTGTATTTATAGAAAAAAAATCACTGTTATTTCCAAATAATAAACAAGCTACATTCCAGTTTAACATAGGAGGAGCCTAATGAAGTATCCTCTTTCAGGAAGGCTATGGATTAGCTTTGCTACTGATCTCATCTCCTTCTGATGCATGAGAGCTGAAAAAAGGAGCTTGATGATATTATAATCAGTAAACCAAAGGATAGGAGAGAAGGTGGCTATAACTATATTTAACTTCTGTTTTCTGCACTCCTGCATGTTTCCTTGTTCAAATATGCACATCTGAATATACAAAACATCATAATAACTGTTCAAACATTAATGTTTAAATGGCCATTGATTTCAGACTTCAGAAATATGAAGAAGCGGTGGAATCATTTTCTAAAGTTCTTAAACTCAATCCCTTTTCTTTGGATGCCTACATTGGTCGAGGAAACGCATACCTGGAATATGGTCATAGCAAAGGCACCAGACAAGCCCTAAAGGATTTCTTGACAGCTGTACATATCAATCCAGTGTGCATAAAGGCTAGACTTTGCTTAGGATACAGCTTGCAGGTAATATATTTGTGACTGTGTCATCATTCTATCTTTCTGAAAATGAAACAAAACAGCAACAATAATTGTTATTTAGCAAGGTGTAATTTAGACTTCATTAAAATACTTCCCTGCTTATTACTTTATTTTATTCAGTTAGTTCAGATCTCTATTAGTTGATGAAAGTATATACAAAGTTTTAACTTCAGAAAAAATGTCTTCCCTGGAAATTATCCCTAGTAAACTGGAAAATATTTATTCATCACATTATATCTCTTTCTACACTGTTTGAAATAAATATGAGTGTAAAGTTGAATTATTTCCATGTGAAGTTCATTCAGAAACAAGAAGTGGTGGGACCTTTATCAGCATGGTGGGAAAAACAGAATTCTCTCATACAGGGAAACTTTGCTTAAAAATGCCATTTAGCGACTGTTCGAAGGTACAATGATACTGAAAAAGTAATTGTATAACTATTTCTCTCACTGATGAACATGATACATCCCCACAGATATGTGATCACAAATCACAAATATGTGATTCAGGCACTTTGCAACCATTGGGCATTTACAATTGTCACAGAATCCCACAGTCTTGTGATTGCCATTTGTGCAGTTCACAGCTGACTTCTGATAAGCAGACTCAGTGGAGAAACTGGCATTAAAATTTCAGTGTTGTAGTCATATAATGTCTTCCTTAATAACCATATGGGAAATGATGTAAGTTCATTGCAGTCCCATGATGTTTCATTTATTGACCATGTCACTTAGCAATGGAGTTGGCTGTCTCAATTGCAATCACTAAATGAGGTCTCTTAGCCTCTTCGTTTCTTCCCTGGCTTTCAAAAGACATTTCTTCTGCTGATTAGGTAAAGCAAATGAGGAGGAAAAACCAGGCAAACTTTGTAAAGCTGTAGGACATTATTACAGGGTAGGGATAGGTAACTGCAACTCACCAATTGCACACTTTATATTAACTAACAGACCAATAGTTTCCTTTCCCATTCAGATAATTTTGCTATATTGCTATTACATTTTGCATAATTGCAATTCTCTCTCCATAACATTTTGAATTACTGTAGTACTTAGTACACTTTAATCCAATTAGATCATATTTATACAATACTGAGAGTTAAACTGAGGTGACAAAAGCAGTTGAAATTACAGTTTTCTAAGCTCCAGAACTGATAAAAATGGCAAGTGTGCAAAAGTGATTTAGAGAAGACTAACAAAGGGCAAAAAGGCATTGAGAGGTCTGGGCAAGCTGATGGAAAACCCAGATGTTTCAAGTAAAACAAATTTAGAAAGGTAATCTCAGCGTATTCTCTGTTATGCTATATGGATGTAAGGAATGGACTCTGCACACAGACATAAAGAAGAAAATTGACTTATTTGCGCTATAGATTTGAAGGAAGGTGTATCACATTCCTTGGACAACCAAAAAAATGAACTATTCAGTAAGAGAAGAAATGAAGCTAAAATATTCTTTAGAAATAAAGATCATGAAGCAAACTCTTCTATACTTTGGATACATATGAAAGGCTGATGGAAACAATAATCATGCTGGGCAAGATAGATGAAAGTAGAATAACAGGCTGATAGCAGATGAGATGAGGTACTGGAGTCACAGAAATGGCACCTGCAAGAATTGCACAATGTGGCAAAAGGCAAGGCATCTTGGAGAGCTTCTATCCGAAGAGTCACCAGGAGTCAGCTATGACTCAATGGAGCATAACAATACAAGGATTAAGCCCTGTTAATGAAGATGCCCAAGCAGGCACAAATCCTTTACACTTAATACAAAGTTAAAGCAATGCAAATCCTTGGAGGGCATGCTTCATTAAAAAAAAGTTTTGATTGAATAACTCTATTAATACAATTTGCATATTCAAGTGAAGACCCACTTCAGTGTAGTGAATTGAAACAGGTGACAGCAAAACACTTTGCAACATTTCAAAAAACACTGCCAATTTAATTAGTTTTTTATTGCTTCTGAAATTGTTACAATTGGTTATGTTTCATATATAGAAAACTCTGGAGAAGGAAGAAGTTGAATGATATATTGGCTTTTTGATTCAAGACTGAAAGAAACCAGATTATTACCTGAAGATGTTACTAAGAAATATTTGTATGGCATCAGCATATTAGTAGTACTCAGTTTCAAAGCTTCTCCAAACATTAGTAGTAGAATGGAATATAGAGGCATGCCATATAATAGTCCTATTTCAAGGAGTAACAGTCTTCAAGCAATATCATTCAGAATTTAGTTTATAGATAGAGTGGAAAAATTGCAAAAAAGTGCCGCCTATTCCCAATTCTTGTAGAGGATCCATAAATATATCATGATTGAAAACCACTAATAAATTAATAGCAACTAACAGAATGATATGCTTTCTGTAAGTTTCTAAAAATCACCCATTAGACCAGCAAAATCAGTCTCAATCTCATAGTCTGCTTTAAACAGTTTGAAACGGGCCAAAATATTTTCTTTCATGAGAACTACCCACAACTGAGAGCCTACACCAGTTTGATCCCTTCAGCCAATGCTGAAAGATTAATTTGGCCCAAGTTGCCCTTTGAATGATATAATTCAGGCTTCTTTAAAAGAGTTATTTCTAATTGCCTCTTTTAAACAGGAAGGTCTTTTGCCTTCCTTCAGAATTGTCTTTTATCTGTAGAAAACTAAAATCTATAAGCAAGTTGGGTAAAAATCAAGAGGACATGTAGTGGAACCTATCATTCCAAGTAGCTTATCCCTATAAAAGAATAACAAAATATTTCCAAAAAAATCTGAATTATAACAGTACAATTCCCCAAAGTTCTCTAGCAGAATGATAAGAGCAGTGAAAATCACATACATACTTCAATTTGAAGCAACTCAGCAAGCTGCAAAGCAATACATGTAGAAAAAACCTAGTTTTTGCTACATATATATTCATAGTATAAACCATCAAAGGGATAGATCATAATGGAGAATTGTGATCACTAGGAATCAAAGATGACTTGATGGCATATAGCCAAGTAATCAATCCTAACCCATCAAGTGGGCTTTGTATCTTTTTTCTGGGTTTGAGTTAAATCTTCCTGCCATCTGTTCTATAACTACCTGCTTTGCAGGTTCACCTTCCACAATTAATCAATATATCAGGGGCCATATTTGAAGAAGATCAGAGAGGACATTTGCGAATTATGATATGACTTCCCCTAGTAAGTTCATCATACCAGCTATTAACCAGAACATCCACAGAGTTGATTAGATTGACCAAAACCCTTCAAAGGACATTTGGAATCCAAATAAATCCAATTGCCTTTTTAGCAGACTATCCAACAGATCATGACCCTTATAAAAATTAGATGTTGCTACTAATCCAGCCCACAGTCATGGGGAGACAGAATCCTCAGTCTATTCCTTGTCACAGAATTGAAATTTGCACAATTTGTCCTCACTTTCTCAGCCTAACTCTATTGAAATGTACCTAATGGAAAGTAGCTAGTCCCATATAACCTTTGTACTTTACTCTGCCAGGTCTCTATTACCCAAGCCTAGTCAAATCTTCAAATATATGATGTATACCATAACATACCCAATTTATTCATGATTATTTAGGTACCACTGAGTTAAGTTTGACTCTCAATTACCAAAGGAAAAAAGTACTTTGTATTTTGATCTTCCTTCAGTAATAACCTTCAGCTTTTCTAAGAACATTCCAATAATATCTTCAATCTTCTATATTTTCCTTATTTATTAATGTTTTTGTTATATTACTTCAGGCTCTTGGAAAATTTCAGAAAGCGTGGACTCAGTTTTCAGCAGCCATTCATTGTGATCCTAGTTGTCACAATGCTTACGATGGACGTGCTATAGTCTGTCTGCAGATGGGGGACATATTTGCCGCTTTTCAAGATACAAATGCTGCACTAAAGGTAAATAGTTTTGTTTGTAACTGAGCAGGACTAAAGATTTTCTGCCCTTTTTAATTAATGCCTTTTCTCAGAGTTTGGGTTATTCTCATTCACAAGACCTTTTCAGGTATTCAGAAAATACAGGCATGTAAAAGAGAGAGACAGGAATAGGTGCTTCTCCCTGTCCCCAAACTCTTGCTGTTTTAGAGCTGGGTTTTTCAAACTTGGCAACTTTAAGATGTATGGACTTCAATTCCCAGTTAGCATGGGGAATTCTGGCCTGAATGAAGTTGGCCTCATCTTAATCAGCCTTCTGGGAGATCTTTAAACCTGGCTTCTTCATCAACCTTGGGGATCCTCTGGTAAGCCTACAAGATGGCTGTATGATATCAAATGTTCATTTTTCTCCAAAATTCTTGTTTTTGTAAATATTTTTAATTTATATGTTTTATTTTAATTGTTAATAAGTTTGTATGTGCCCAGAGTCATATTTTGTGAGATGGGCAATTACATAAATCTAATAAATAAATGAAGTTTGACAGATATGCTTCCAGTGATGGAAACTTTTTTTTAAAAAAAGTTTAAATGTAGCACCCCCTGAAACATGTTTTACACCTCTCTCCTGCACTATTACCCCATTAGGAAAGAGATATTCAAGCATCCCATAAAACCCACATTGTTTTATTTAGTTTCTAATCAATGCCTCCCTCTCATGCTCATGGGAATAAAAATGCAGCTTAACTGCTGTTTTAAATTCATTATCTTGTACAAAAAATGATATGGGAGAAGGGAGAACAATATTCTGCAATAGATCATCCCTGGGCAGAAATATTTGGGGCCATAGCTTAAAACCAGCTACGGGTTTAAGATATACTTTATACATATATTGTATTTTATAATCCTTTATGCATTTTAATCTAAAACCTGATTTGTCTGCATTTCAGATAACCACTAATGCAGAACTACTTACAAATCGAGGTGTGATTAATCAGTTCATGGGATATTTAAACTGTGCTATGCATGACTATCAGCAGGCTATCACCAAAGATCCCAGCTATGCTTTAGCCTATTTCAATGCAGCAAATGTCTACTTTTTAAACAAGCAGTTCTCACAGGTTTGTATTTGGTTTTGTGCTGGTATGGTATTGTTTTTTTCTAAATCTCCTTTGAGGAAGTTTTTTAAAATTATAACTACAAATTGCTCATTTTTGTCTTATTAAATATTACTGAATAATAATACAAAGTTCAAATATATGCTACATAATAAATAGCTGAATTGACAATCTTGAATATCAACACAGCTATTAATAATCTTCAGTAAGTAAATGAAATGAAAATAATTCCTTGAAAATATATAATCCTAGACTAGGCAATTCAAGGGAATTTAACTGTTCTTGAATTTTTTTCTCCCCCCTGAACTTTGACCTTTTAAAAAATATATCCAGTACAATTAATTGTTTGTATTAGTTCTTTACTCTTTGTAAAGTGGCAAATGACTCATAGCCTACTTTTGCAACTTTAGTTTACTTTTAGAGAAAAGGGCAGTCAGAGGAAATTAAGATCTATCTGAGTCTATATCACACCAGGGACTGATAATGTTGTATTTAGATTAACAGGCAGTAAGATTTTTCAAATGTTGAAAAACTATCAAAGATGTCGACATTTTGAATGTGTAATTTGCAGAAATCTCAGGAGGGTAATAATGAATTTAATTTCTGACAGTTGAGTCATTATAGATAATCCTGAAAAGGTTTGACAGGTCTGTCTTTTTTGCACAGTAGTTCCGTGGATTTTAAAGAGAATGCTAGTTTACTTTTGCACATGTTCCAAACAAGTTGTTGCTTGTCAAGTATAATAAATTTAAAATACACCTTCTTCACATTCTGTTTAAAATGACAGTTGTGCCATAAGGCCTGAGGACTCCAGAGAACTGGTGAACTATTGAGGTAGTTCCACTATTATTAACATCTCTTCGCCTAATATTTTTTCACTTTTAGGTTTTTTTTGTTCTAGTTTTTAAGGTTAATAATAGCAGAAGGCAGCTGTCATGCTCTTGTTGGAGTCTGATTCTGAGGGGGAGATTGAGCAGCTGACAGGGAGTGGGAGTGTGGCTCTGGTGACTGTGGAAAAAACAGGAGAAGGGCACAGTACAGCTGGCCATTCAGAGGAAGACCCAAGACCTCTTCATCCTAGGGCACACAGAGTGGAATGGAGAAGGGAGCAACGTGGCTTACGAGAGAGAAAAAGGTCCTGATCCATTTCATTAGTTCCAGCTGGGAGAACAGGGTATAAGTGGGGGGTTTGCACACAGCTTCTTGCTGGAAGCAAAGCGTGCATTATTTTGGTCGAGCCTTATCTGGGTTTTGGCATCCTCCCAACTGTGGGTGCTGCATTATCCTTTGAAAGTCTGCAATTTATCATTCTGGACTGTGGTGTTAATTACTTTAGTATGGTTTGTGTTGTTTTTTTAAATTTCTAATTATCTTTACTTTGGGTTTGGACTGCATTTCTGCCCTTTGTAGACTGTTTTTTGAAGAGTTTGTTATCCAGCCGAGGATAATTGGACATTGGGGCCAAGTTGGAGGCATTAAAGGGAATTTATTCTACTTTGATGACTTAGTTATTTTTGTGTCACGCCCCGGGTCATCACAGCAGCTTTATATTTGTAATCGCTTACATCTTGCAATGATATTTTTAAGATTATTAAACAACATCTATCTATTTCAGGTCCTTGGGAAGGACTCAATTGGGGGGCAATGCAAAATCCAGACTAAACATCTGGCTAACTGTGCAAACAACCCTAATAATTGTTTAGTGTTTATTAAGTAACATTACACATTGAGAACTGGATGATTCATTAAAAACAATTATTACAATATATTAAAATGTCCAATGATCGCTAAACTAACTATGGTTTCAAAATGATTAAAGGTATCTGAGGGACCACATCTTCCAGATTACATCTTTCCTTCTATTTAGATCTAGCAGAAAAGGCATGCTGCCTTCTGTTAGGGAATTACACTTGGTGAGTCCCATGAGGCGGGCCTTATTTGCTGTGTGGCACCTGCCTTTTGGAAATCCTCCCCTCTGAAATGTGGCAACCATTAGCTTTATCCCTGTTAATATTCTGGGAGCCCCTCAAGACCTGGCTATGTCATCATGTTTAGCGGGTCCCAGAAGACTGGTAACATTCTTAGATATCTGCATCACTGTAGTTAATATTCACTCTCTTCTGTGCCTTTTAAATATTTTAATAATGATTGTTTTGTATTTTTATTAATAACTGTTTTAACATATGTATTTATCTATTAATTGTTTTATGCCATAAAATAACTTTTTGTGCAGCTATATAAATTTGGTACATAAATAAGAGTATATACAATATTTCAATTTAAGAATGGCAACTGATCATAGGGCTATGTACTAACATTGACATACTATAAGACTGCTCTATTTAATATTTCTGTAGTGAAAGGGGAGATGAGAGAACTAGCTTGTTACCTATGAGCTGGTTATACACAGATTAGCTTTTTGACTATTCTTTCTATATTGCTTCCTTTGCCAGTAATGCACATACACTTCATTTGCTTAGACATTGGTAGTTCAGTGCAATACTAATATAATACCAGTTTAGTTGTCCATGAATTTTTATATGAATGCAGAAAATGAATTTTCAGTGATCACTTCATGATCTTATATGTTATAAGAACTCTCAACCAGCTGAATGTAGTTTGTAGCTCTGTAGTTGCCAAGAAAATTCTCAATGATAACCTTGAATGCTTTCCAGATGATTTTTTCTGACACTAACAGATCTTCAAACCCCTTGTCATTGACGATGTATCTGATATTTGGACCAACAAAAATGCCTTTCTTAATCTTGACATCATTCTTGGAAACATCTGCCTCAAACAATGAAAACAACTGTCCATGTCAGTATAGAAAACAAGGTTGTCAACCTGTACCCCAATCAAAGAACTCTCAACAGTTCCTGCTAACAGTTTGCTGTTAACAATAAACAGCCCAACCAAAGAACTTCCAAGACCTCTCTCATCAACACTGACAGGGCAAACCTTTAAAATATAAAATGAAAGCAAACTCCATATGCAAGAAAACAACCAAGCTCTGAGAGCACCAAGAACCCCTCATCTCAGCCCTGAGCTACAACTATTCTCCGTTATTGATAGCCTCCATTAGACAAAAACTGCCCATTCCTGTTCATAGGCCTCAAAATTCTTTTGAAGAGTTGAAATAATAATACTATGGTTTGTTTACAGCAATGTAGTTTTTCTACATCTACAATTCAATTACAGTAGAAATTAATGTATTTAAAAACAGAAACCAAAAAATGTGCAGGTGCAACAGTCATTTATCCGAATTCTCCAGAAGAAATGAGTGAACAAATAGTATAATTGGTGGGAAAAACAGCTAACAATACTGGTATACAGTACTATTATAGATTTCTTGAAGATCAAGTTAACATTATAGTATTGTACTTATATCTTATCCAAGGTATTACTGTTTTGACAAATCAACACTAATAAATAAAACTTTTTATTTAATTTTATAGGCAAATGACTATTATACCAAAGCCATAGAACTTGATCCCCAAAATGAATCTGCTTTCCTGAATCGAGCTATTACAAATACGCTCTTAAGAAATTTTGAAGAAGCAAAAACAGATTTTGAGAAGGCAATTTCCTTGTCCCCTTTGTCGGCAGCAATATATTTTAACAAGGCAAATCTCTACAGCATGTTACAGCAATATGAGCAAGCCGAGGAAGACATTTCAAAAGGTACTAATAACTGAAATATATACATCTCCTGACATACTCATCACTTAAAACAGGTACTGCAAGGCTCCAGAATGAGATGGTTCAACATAATGAATCACTTGTTGGGGCTGGTGGGAGTGAAGGGTGAATTATGCTAGTATGAGGGTCTCCTTCATCATTTTGACAAATAGATCATCAGTGCTGCTCAAGCTTTCAGCATGAGCCATCTGTTCAGCATGGGAAATCCTTGCATCCTACAACAAATTGCAGTGTGCAGGTCTTTATAGATCAGAGCACATGGGATGATTTATTGTCCTGCCCCACCACTTTTTACTGTCTCTGCTTAGAGATTTACAAAATCCAAACATACTTTTTAGAGCTAATGCTAGGCCCCTTGCTTAGACTTTTAGTCATTGGAATTCACATCTTACTGGATTGAGTCAATTATATTTCCCATTGATTAAAGAATTCCAAAGTTGAAATGTGTGCAGTATTTTGAGTAGAAATGTTAGCATATAATTATTATTTTTTTGAGAAATCACCTAATAAAATGTTATCTTTTACAGCACTTTCAATTCAACCTTATGATGCCTTGCTGTATAAGCTCAGAGCAGATATTCGTGGAAAAATGGGATTAATTAAAGAAGCAATTGCTGATTACAAGAAAGCCATCAGCATCCAAGAGCTAATCAACAGCAATTGAAAAGATGAACACTAAAAATATTTATAGTATAATTTAAAACTGGAGTACATTTTCTGCTGACATAGATAGCTTGCACTAGTGTTTTGTTCTTACTACAATTTTAAAATATATGCATTTCTGTACTTATTTACACAATTCAACAAGAAGCATTAAATAAAGAGTACTGTTAATGAACAAAGTAGTGTTATTATTTATTATGTTAATACTTATATTCTGGTTTTTTTTTTATAGACAGCCATGTTTAAATCCCAATAGTCTCAATACAGTTACTGAAGAGCTAAAATAGAAATTCACATTTTGCATTTTGCTTGGACCAACTATGTCTGGAAAGTCTAGTTCATGGTTCTGTCAGGTATCTGGCTTTTCCTATGCTTGCAGACTAGTTTTTCATAAATATCCTTCAGGATTTTTTTTTCTTATTCTGTCTAAATAGATAAGCTTATCCAGGCACAGTTTAAAATAACATGAATTTGGGGCTCAGCCAGGGGTGGTATTCAAAATTATTAACAACTGGTTCTGTGGGTGTGGCCTAATTTGTGGGTGTGGCTTGGTGGTCATGTGACTGGGTGGTTGTGGCTTGCTGACGGGGGATGACTTGAGGGTCATGTGACTGGGTGGGTGTGGCTTGTACATAAATATTGTATATATTTATGAAAATATTTTTTGTGTGTGTGTATGTATGTATATGTGTATGTGTGTATGTATGTATGTATGTATGTATGTATGTATGTATATATACATATTTGTTTTCTTAAGTTTTCACAGGTACTTACATGTATGGCATTCGGCTTTGTTTGGGTATTTTCCCACGTCATAGTAGTTGTGCTTTTAAAGTTGTAGCGCTGTTTCAGCAGAATCTCATCTGCCATGACGTGGGAAAATACCTGAACAAAGCCGAATGCCACATATATATATATATACGTATATATATATATATATATATATACATACATACATACACACACACATACACACATACACACACATACACACACACACACACAATATTTTCATAAATATATACAATATTTTACGTACATGTTTACGTACACAGTTTACATACAAGCCTTAAGTTTTTGCGGGTACTTACATGTATGTTATTCAGCCTTGTTCAGGTATTTTCCCACATCATTATAGTTGTGTTTTTAAAGTTGTAGCAACGTTTCAGCAGAATCTCATCTGCCATCATCAGGCTTCTGTATTGTGTCTGTCTGTGAGTCAGGCCCCCACAGTTGTTTCAGTTTTAAATTTGAGGCTAGCCTACTGCTGTGCCAGAATGGTTTTTTCTTCATCCTGATTGGTTGGGAGTCTTGGTCTGTGTTTATTGGTCTTGGAGTTTGCTGTGTTCTGCTTGATTGGTGTTTCTAATATCTTCTGTCTGTTTTGTGGCTTTTTTTGTGTGTCTTGATTGGCTGGCAACATTGTGTTCCTGTATTGGAAGCTTTTAGTGCAGCTTGGCTCCGAGTAAATGGACGGCTATCATTGGTTAGGAAGCTAGGTTTCATCTGGGTGCCTGGTTGGGGTGTGTTTGAGCTGGAGGTATCAGGGGAGATCTGTTAGTGCCCAGGTGTTTGCCTGGCTAGTGGTGTGGAGATTTTTTTGTTTGTGAGTGCAGGCTTCCAAATAATTGACAGTCTGGTGGAATCATCTCTTCTATTCACGCTTTCAGGTCTTTTTTCAATCTCTATGGCTTCTCTGATAATTCTGTGGCTGGGGTTTTCTATAGTGGCTAGGGTTTTGGTGCCATTGAAGTTGATGCTATGACCTGTTGCTTTCATGTGTTGGACTAGTACGGAAGTGTGTTCCAGCTTTTTTAGTGCATTTTTGTGTTCATCTAGGCGGGTACTTATTTTTCTATTGGTCTGTCCAATGTATGTGGCAGGGCATGATGCACAGGGGACTTCATATATGCCTTGGTTTCCCAGGTCAATTTTATCTTTGGGGTTTCTTAGGATGGCTGCTATTTTTCTATCTGTTTTGAAGGCGGTCTTGATGTGATGCCTGTGTAGTATCTTACTGATTTTGTCTGTAGTACCTCTTATGTAGGGCAGGAGAGCTGTTCCACAGGTCTGTTCATCTTCTAGGTCTCCATTATGTCTCAGCATGTTTTTGTGGATCAAGCCAGTGATTTTGCTTTTGTGGAAGCTGTTGGCTGTCAGTACTTTAGTCAGGGTGCATAGTTCAGTCTTTATGTGTGTCTTGTCTGCCAGGCGTTTGGTTCTGGTGATTAGTGTTTTGGCCACGGAGTTTATCTGTGCTGGGTGGTGGTGGGGTTGGGCATTGAGGTAGCGGTTGTTGTGTGTTTTCTTCTCGTATATGGTGTGTCCTAGTGTGCCATCTGGTTTTTTTGTAGATTAGTACATTTAGATTGGTACAATGTTGCTACAACTTTAAAAGCACAACTATAATGATGTGGGAAAATACCTGAACAAAGCTAAATACTATATATATATATATTTCACACTCTGAAAAGCAAGAGCCAAAGACAGAGGCCTGATGATGATGAATGAGACTTCATCGAAACGTTGCCTAGACACTTTGAATCTTACGCGGGAGAAAACCCGAACAACCAAAGATCCACATACAAATACCCGCGAGAACCTCAGAAAACATATATATATATATATACACACACACACACACACACACATACATACATACATACATACATATGTATATATGCAACTTTTTCCCAAAATAAGGCAAAGCAGATTGAGTTGCTTGCAGAATCATAGATTCTCTCACAGATCTACCTTTCTACAATCTGCTGCCTGAGTCTGCAGTGAAAAATAGAAACTTCAGTCCTAAGGAAGATTCGGCTCTGCTCTCAGGCCACTTCTCTCCCACCCCCAATCCCCTGAATACCACCCCTGACTGGGCCTCAGGGAAACCTCCTGGGCAAAGGTAAAGCAGTACAACAGCAATTTAAATTAGCTAGAAAGCAGAAATCCGACAGGAGGGGGAGAGGGGCCAGTCAGTGGCGCGATTTTCCAGTTCTCCGAACTGCACAGAATCGTAACAACCGGTTTTATAAAACTGGTCCGAACTTGTAGAATCCCACCCCTGGGCTCAGCTTTTAGGTGTGCAATAATTTAATAACTTGCTTTTATGAACCTGACCAAGCTATCTAGATAACACACCTTTTGCAGAAGATTTGAAGGCTTTCTACTCCTCACAAAACCTTGAACATTAATTTGGTCTAGAAGGGAAGAGATGTGATTTATATTCACACAGTGTTTAAGAATCTATTGTTTCAAATCTATTGATAGATTTGAAAATAAGTTCTGAATCTAAAATTGCTACAAAACTCCTTAGAGTTTTGAGGAAAAATGTTCTCTTCTGTCAGAAAGTACTGATATTGGCAGCAAAAGAAATTCTTGACCCCAAAACCAAATGTATTTCAAATTGTAGAATGGATTGTAGTGATTCTTCTTTATATTGCTCATCAAATATTACATTCAGTTTTGGATACAACATTCTAGGATGGACATTCTAGGATGTTTTTGCAGTACTCATCTCAAATGACCTAAGTGCTAGAGCCCACTGTAACTACATAGCCAAAAAGGTGTTAATAGTTGTTAACCTAATCTTACATAGCCTTTTCTCTAGTAATATTACACTAATAACTAGAGCATACAAAACATTTGCTAGACCAATACTCGAATACAGCTCATCAGTCTGGAACCCACATTACGTGTCTGATATTAACACAGTTGAGAAAGTCCAGAAATATTTCACAAGAAGAGTTCTCCACTCCTCTATTCGTTGCAGGATACCTTATGCCACCAGACTAGAAATTCTAGACCTAGAAAACCTAGAACTACGCCACCTTCGATCCCATCTAAGTATAGTATATAAAATCATACATTGCAATGTTCTACCTGTCAATGAATACTTCAGTTTCAACCATAACAACAGTAGAGCAAACAATAGATGCAAACTCAAGGTTAATCGCACCAAACTTGATTGCAGGAAATACAATTTCAGCAACAGAGTGGTCAATGTCTGAAATACTCTACCTGACTCTGCTGTTTTTTCCCCAAACCCCAAAAACTTTAACCTTAGACTGTCTACTATTGACCTCACCCCTTTCCTAAGAGGTCTGTAGGGGGTGTGCATAAGCGCACCAATGTGCCTACCGTCCCTGTCCTATTGTTTCTTTTATTTTCTTTTTACTTTTTTAAATTTTTCTTATTTTCCATGTATTCATAACTTATACCTATTATCTTGTAAGCAATTGACAAATAAAAATAAATAAAATAAATAAAAATAAATAAAATAAAGGAATAAGAAGGAAAAAAAATGAGAAAGAATTAGAGGATATAATTAGAGATGTGATAGCTGTTTTCAAGTATCTGATAGGTTGCCACGTAGAAGGCAGAACAGCATTGTTCCAGAAGATGGAACAAGAACCAGTGAGTTTAAATTATAGGGTAATAGCTTTTGGTTGGACACCCCAGAAAAATATTCCTAATCCCAAGAGCTGTTCAGCAATGAGACAGACTGTCACAGGAAGCGGTAGACTCTCTGTAACTGGAGTGGTTTAAATAGAGGACAGGTGTCATCCATTGATGATGCTGTAGGCTCTTGCACTACTCAGAGAGTTGAACCACAAGATCTCCCATTCTTACATTCTGATTCTAGGCATTCCAATTGTGTTTGCTCTGATGTGAACTAAATTAGCTTTTCTATAGTGAAGGGAACATAGAAAGCATGTTCAAACATTATGCCATCTCAAAGATGCTTTTTCAAAAAGCAGCTGGACTATTTTTTCCTTGAGAAAGAAGAAAACATTTTGCTTTTCATCCAAGAAGCTTCATCAGTTTTGATGGTGGGGGATGGAAGGATAGGGACTGACAGTTGAGACTGGATGATGTGGGGGGATGGGGGATGGAAGGATAGGTTCTGAGAGGATGGTGGGGGAATGGAAGGATTGTATTTCTTTGCAGTCATCTGCTCATTAACACTCTCTGAGAGCTTTTGTGGCCACTTGGTTTATC